CCCCTCTCTCAGCACTGAGCCAAAAAGAGCCTTTTAAGGTGAGTTCCTCTGATGTCTGGTTGCGAATTTGGTCACACAGCTGTGACCCAACACATATCAGGTGTATCGAGTCGTTTGTCTCTCGATGTCAGAAGGTCCTTCCCACATGGATAGCATATTAGTAATAAATTTGTTTTGAGGGTCATGGTGAAGGGGACATCTCAAAATATAATGGATCAGATTGTCTATTTCTCCCATACCACACACACAGAATCATGACGGGGTAGGAACACTTAAGAAACGGCCCAATCGAACCACTGAGGGCAGAGCTTGAAATCTTAAACTAGTAAAGTCCATCCTTAATTTCATTGTTGTTAAAGTCTTCATATAAGAAGACCTAACATGATATCTTTTTAGAAATTTGAAAAAAGGGACCACTGTGGATCGAGCGATTACCTATTTCCCCACCCGTTTTAAAGACCCATTCCTTCAGCTCCTGTCCTGGTGTTTTAGTATTTAACAGCTCCTTTGGAATTGCATACTTCGATGGAATAAAATCCAGATATTCCTTTTGTTGTTGATGTTGTTCAGTCACACAGTCGAGTCCGACTCTTTGCGACCCCATGGACCAGATCATGCCAGGCCTTCCTGTCTTCCGCCGTCCTCTGAAGTTTGCTCAATTTCATGTTCGCTGCATCTATGACACTGTCTAACCATCTCATCCTTTGCTGTCCCCGTCTTCTTTGACCTTGTTATGTCGTGGGTTGCCGCATGGATAAACGACCGACGACGACGACGTGGTGCATGGCACGCTTTATTAGGTACACAACAAGAACAAACGGCCGGTAGGCCAACTATATACATACCTGGGGACACACCCCTGGTCACCATTGGTGGGTTTGAATCTCCCGCCATGGTTCCCATTGGTTCCCCAGTGGAGGGACTAGGAGCCTAGTCCCTATTGTTCTTCCAGAGCCAAGCTCTGGCTGTTCGCTGGCCCCCAGTGGTGGTCAGCATACACTACATTATCTAATTCCCTTTTGAAGCTGCCCATGCTTCTTCTTCTTCCTCTTCTTCTTCTTCTTCTTCCTCTTCTTCTTCTTCCTCTTCCTCTTCTCCTCCTCCTCCTCCTCCTCCTGTCTCTTGACAGTCCTGTTGAGGAATAGTTAACTTATCTCCATAGGCTTCATTGCTTGACTCACCCGGGATCAATCAGCTCGAGTGTTTACTTTGGTTTTTCGGCATCTGCAAGATACATTCCTGGCGGATCTTTTCAAAGGAGCCAACGAGTGAATGGCAAAACAACCTCAAAGGACTAGGGGTCGTCAGGTTGGCCTTTAAATCACTCGGCATAAAAACCAGGGCCGGGTGATGTCATCCTTGCTCAAGACGTTGATACTTTCCCCCTCACCACCACCCCCCTTTTGCTGCCCCACAAGCAGGATTTGCAGGTTTCGGAAAGCTCCAGAACCCTACAAGCAGCGTGCACCGAATGAAATAATGCAGAAGTGGACTGGCTTAGCTCGTAAAAAACGGTTCCTCTGTCTAGCCAAGGAGAAGGTTTGTTAGGATGAAGTCCAGAAATAGGGGGTGGGTGGGTGGTGGGTGGGTGGGGGGGTGGGATTTCATGGCAGATTAACAACACTGTTTCGCCACCGTCTGCTCAGCTCGCTGGGTGACCTTGGGCCAGCCATTCGCTCACTCCCTAACCTACCTCACAGGGTTGTTGTGAAGATAACATGGAGGAGGGGAGATTGACATGGTAAGGTGCTTTGGGAGAAAACGGGAATACCCCAAAAGGGGGGGGATGCAGGGCTCTTTTTGTAGCAGGAACTCCTTTGCATATTAGGCGACACCCCGCCTAATGTAGCCAATCCTCCAAGAGCTAACAGTAGCCCCTGTAAGAAGAGCCCTGTAAGCTCTTGGAGGATTGGCTACATGAGGGGGGGTGTCGCCCAGATTCTCTCTTTAAAAGAACAAACAAGAATTTTCCTGGTTTTACTGATTTGTGGTACAGACACTGTATTCTAAATGCTTTTTTAACGCTGAAACGTTTTAAAGTTTGACCATACACCAACTTTGGGGACCCTATTTGGCGGGAACGTGGCATAGAAATGTTTTGGAGGAATACATACATTTTGCTTGCACGTGTTATTGCAGGAACTCACATGCACAGGGTGGTGTTTTTTACTGCTACCGCAGTATTTTGTGCTTGTAGGATGAGGTTCCAAGGAATCCTCTGACCAGAACAGCTTGGGAGGGGGGGTAGGATCACCAACTTCCAGGTGGCACCTGGAGATCTCCCGCTATTACAATTGATCTCCAGACGACAAAAGTTCCCCTGGAGAAAACTGGCCGGTTTGGAGGGCAGACTCTACGGACTCATAGCGTTCTGACGTCCCCCTGCCTTCCCAAGATCCATCCTCAAAATCTCCAGGTATGTCCCAACCAAGGCTCCCTCTAAGCTGTGGAGTCTTGTGAGCAAAACTCTGTGAGCTACTGGCATTAAAGTTGTGAGTGAGCCATTTGGCGACTGCATAAGTGAGTTTGCTCTGGAGCCCTCCTTCCTGAGCGAAGGCAAAAATGTGTGAGCCGGAAGCTAAAAAGTGTGAGCTAGCTCATACTAATTCAGCTCAGGGGGAACACTGGTCCCAACCCGAAGCTGGCAACCCTAAGCATGAGGCTTCAGGGCATGCAAAGAACCTTGTCCAGGGCCCTGGGGTCCCTCCACTTAGAGTCGCCAAACCGGGTATCCAAATTCCCCAACGCCCCCCCTCCCAGAATTCAAAAAAGGACAAACGAGCCAACATCTCACAGCAAGCCTCCTCAGTCTGGAGAAGAGGAGGTGTGGGGGGGGGGGCAGGATTGCTCTCTTGAAGTCTTTGAAGGGCTGTCCCTTAGAGGAGGAGGGAAGGGAGCTGTTCCTGTGGGCAGCAGAGGAGAGGACTCGCAAGAATGGGTTTGAATTAAGGGCAGGAAGGTACCGGCTGGATCTTAGGGGAAACGTTTTGACAGTCAGAGTTGTGCAACGGTGGAGTCAGCTGCCCGGGGAGGTGGTGAGCTCCCCCTCCCTGGCAGTCTGTAAGCAGCAGCTGGACAAAGACGTGTCAGGGATGCTCTAGGCTGATCCTGCATTGGGCAGGGGGTTGGATTAGATGGCCTCTAGGACCCCTTCCAACTCTGTGATTCTGTGATTCTAAAATATCTGAATGAACGAACGAAAGAATGAATGAATAAACGAATGTGTTGGGGAACTTCTGGCCCACTCAGGGGAAATTATTCCTGGTCTGCGTACGCCACAGAGGTGGTAAACGAGACTATATCCGTCTGCTCTCTGTTAGTCTCATTCTCATCCCCTTCCTCAAAGAAATGCACGTATATTTCCTCTTTTCCATTTTGTTCTCACAACAAGCCTGTGAAAGAATGCTGAACTGCAATTGATCATGAAGCTCAAGACAATGCATCCACCTGGACTGAATCAAGACCTAGGTTTCCTGTCTCATTACCAATGCGGATTTCTCCACGCCTGTTGCCCCTCTGCCTATCTCATCTAAATCCAATCACGCCAGCGATTGTCATTCACCTGCTATTGTCATTTGCCTCCGCTTTCCAATAAATAGGACAGATGGACGCCCATTCTGGCTGTCATCTGAAGAAATGAGCAGTGACTCACGAAAGGTCATGCCTTGCCACATATTTTGTTTAGTCTTTAAGGTGCTCCTGGACTCTGGCTCTTTTCTACTGCTTCAGACAGACTCACACGGCTAGCCATATTAATCTAACAAGCATTGTGAGATAGGTTTATGCTAAGAGACCGCGACTGGCCCAAGATCACCCAACAAACGTCATATCTGAACAAGAATTTGAATCTGGTTCAATTGGTGCGACACCCAAAACAATATAACATACCACCTCTGCACGAGGCTGGGAGGATCCCGCTTCCAAATGCTCCCTCCACTTCAAAAACTTATCCGCAAGAGGAAAATCAGCACGTCCAGGGAAAAAGTCCTTACGGAATTCCATTCCTTGTTGTGCCGGTTTTCTTCATGTGGGGAGTTGGTCATTTGTCTCCGTCCTGCTCGCTGCGGCTTAGACAGTGTGGGTGGCTTTTCCCACCCCCTAGGAGGAACCAACCTGAGCCGCATGGCCCGGTTAGCCCAGTCTCATCAGATCTTGGAAGCTGAGCAGGGCCAGCCCTGATTAGGACTTGGAAGGGAGACCACCAAGAAAGTCCAGGGTTGCTACGCAGAGGCAGGCAAGGGCAAGCCACCTCGGTATGTCTTTTGTCCTGACCTGGATGGAGGAGGAGGAGGAGGAGAAGAAGAAGAGGAGGAGGAGGAGATTGGATTTATACCCCGCCCGTCACTGGCCGAAGGAGTCTCAGAGTGGCTTACAAACTCCTTTCCCTTCCCCTCCCCACAACAGACACCCTGTGAGGTTGGTGGGGCTGAGAGAGCTCTCTCAAGAACTGCTCTTGAGAAAACAACTCTGAAAGAACTTATGAAGAAGAAGAGATTGGATTTATACCCCTCCCTTCACTACCCAAAGGAGTCTCAGAGCGGCTTACAAACTCCTTTCCCTTCCCCTCCCCACAACAGACACTCTGTGAGGCAGGTGGGGCTGAGAGCGCAAGAAGAAGAAGAAGAAGAAGAAGTCCAGGGTTGCTATACAGAGGCAGGCAATGGCACACCACCTCTGTTCATCTCTTGCCCTGAAACCCTTACAGGGTCGCTGTAAGTTGTCTGTGACTTAACAGCTCTTCACACACAAACACACACACACACGCACGTGGAACCAGACAGGTCAAGCACACCGGCTTAACAGCTTCGAGAATCCAGCTGTTCACATGTACCACAGGAACACTGCAGTAATGTTGCTGAAAGCTGGCACTGACTACAATTACCAATCTTACTCTAAACAGGAAATAGCTGCGGTAGCCCAGAGAGCAACAAAAGAACGCTGGTGACCCCAGCAAGGGGCTTTCAAGGAAAGGGAGAAGCCGCGGTGGTTTGCCATTTGCCTTCCTCTGCAGAGCCTTCCTTGGTGGTCTCCCATCCAAGTACCCACCCAGCTTAGTTTCCAACTTCTGGTGACCCCAGCAAGCGGCTTTCAAGGAAAGGGAGAAGCAGAGGTGGTTTGCCATTTGCCTTCCTCTGCAGAGCCTTCCTTGGTGGTCTCCCATCCAAGTACCCACCCAGCTTAGCTTCCAACTTCTGGTGACCCCAGCAAGGGGCTTTGAAGGAAAGGAGAAGCAGAGGTGGTTGGCCATGGCCTTCCTCTGCAGAGGCTTCCTTGGCGGTCTCCCTTCCAAATACCGACCCTCTTAGCTTTCAACTTACCGTGGCCCCAGCAAGTGAGATGCAGAGATGGTTTGCCATTGCCTTCCCCTGCAGAGTCTTCCTTGGTGGTCTCCCTTCCAAGTACCAACCCTGCTTAGCTTCCAACTTATGGTGACCCCAGCAAGGGGCTTTCAAGGCAAGGGAGAAGCAGAGGGGGTTGGCCATGGCCATCCTCTGCAGAGTCTTCCTTGGTCTTCTCCTTTCCACGTACTGACCCGGCTTAGCTTCCGAGATCTGATTGGATTGAGCTATACCACGCTGCCTTCCCTCCCTTTCTGCCGACTAGCAACTGGGTAAATAAACCCTCAGCGCGGATGTCTACATTTGTCCTTGAATTCAGCCTCAAGTGGAATTTGCTCGGGTGAGTTTTTACAGGGCTCCTGGAACCGTCATGAGATCCATGGATGTTTCAGCAGGTTCTCTGGTCGCCGTCGGCCAAGCCAACAGCCAGTGACATCACTGATGTCAATGACATCATTCACCAAGGCTGATGACATCATGTTCCCACGACGTGACCCGTGTACAAAGCCAAATACACATCAGTGTCCAACAAATACATCACTGGTACATGACAAAGGAGGAGGAGAAGGAGGAGGAGAAGGAGGAGGAGAAGAAGGAGAAGTGTACCTCACAGGGTTGTTGTGTGGATAAAACAAAAGAGCTACTTTGGTCTCCATTTGGGGAAAAGGTGAGATAGAATTAAAGGGAATAAAGAAAATAAATGGGCAATTGTCTACCTGGAAGTCCTGGCGACCTCTGGTGACTGACCCCTACTGGGGGCCTGGAGGATATTCAGACAGGTGGCTGAAAAGAGCCTGCCCCCCGCCTCCCGCCTCTGGCATTCCTTGGAGGTCTCCCATCCAAGTACTTGCCAGAGTCAACCCTGCTTCGCTTCCGAGATCTGACTTGCCTGGGCTTTCCAGATCAGGGCTTCAATTGCAGCTTTTCATGGAATGGAGGTATATAGCAACATCTGGCGAATAACATCCCATCAAGCCTCCGTTAAAGGGACAGGACGCGTTTCCTCCAGGTTGTCGGCAGCCCTAGACAGCGGCACCTTAAGCCTGCATTACCCAGAAGTTAAGTCCCATTGAGTTCCAAGGGACTTACTCCCTATTAACATGCGAGGGATTTCAATCTAAGGACCCTGCGTTATTTTATTTTTTATTTTGTTTAAAAAAGCAGATCATTTTGCCGTCGCTGGATTATGGCCAATGTTTGATTTCCCTTTTTCGCAAAAGGAAACCTCTTACGAGGCTCCGGCGCCGGGCGATCAAAGCCTCCACAAGAGAATCCCAACCGATCCCTCTTTGGGAGGAAACATCTGTTTCTGTTTCCCCCACACACACACCCCACAGCTCCGCGCCCTCTCCTCCGGTACCCACCTCTTGTTGTGGCGAAGGAGGCCAGATCCAGGTCTACCTTCGGCCCTTTGACAAAGCAGAGAAGATCCAGGCGGCAGGCCCCCCTCCGGTGAAAGCCGAGAAGCTTGCTCATGTGAGACATCCAGACCGACTGAGAACCTCAGAAGAGTCAAGAGAAAAGTTAGTCACCGAAAGAGGGGGGTGGGGGGTGGGAAGATACTCCTCCTAGATTAGACTTGAAGGAATTCCTCCACGCTGATCCCGGCTGGAGTGTTTCCACACTCTCCCTCAAACGTCCCTGCGCTCCTGCCTCGATAATGGTTTTTAAATGTGATCTGCTCCTCTGGAGCGCCCCGCCTGCCAAAGGCGCATGTTTTTCACCTGCATCTGATGTGGCGATTACTTTTCCTCTCCCCTTGGCACATGTCCTCTGAAACCGCGACAGGCGCCTGCCGTACAGGTGTGTCGGTTTGTGTGGTCGGGTTCGGTCTGCGTTCCTCTTCCAGCGTTTGGGGACTCCGAAGGCCTGCGGTTCATTAGAGCGGGAAGGAAAAGCCCAAAAAGTGAACAGAATAGAGTGGGCATAGAGGTTCGCATTGTTTGTAGAAACAGAAAGGGAGTGGCTCGAAATGGCTGTATTCCCCTCCTAAGATTTTGTCTCCACCACTGTGGAGGGGTTTTTTTTTTGCAAAAATAACTGAGACGCTTTATGACACCTGAAAGGCAAATCGATGTGTTATAGAATCATAGAGTCATAGAGTTGGAAGGGACCTCCGGGGTCATCTAGTCCAACCCCCTGCACAATGCAGGAAATTCACAAATGCCTCCCCTCACCACAGACTCCCAGTGACCCCTGCTCCATGCCCGGAAGAGGGCAAAAAAACCTCCCAAATTGGCCTCGAGAAAAATGGCTTCCTGACCTCAAAGTGCTAATCGGCATTTCCCTGGGCATGTAAGAAAGGGCCACGAGAACTAAGCACTGAGGCAACCCTTCCTGCCCTCCCTCTCATGATCTGCCTCAGTTCACAGGATCAGCACTGCTGTCTGATGGCCATCTAGCCTCTGTTTGCCTCCAAAG